TCACTTAGTTGGCATCATCTTCCTAATACTCCTGATTGGAGGAAGCAAATAGAGATGGCCTGTCTTTTTCCTTCTACACTGTGGGCCTCAGGATAAATAACCTTCAAATATAAGGCAGTTCCTCCTCCCTTTTCTTATCTCCATGTCTTCCCAAGGAAAGCTTATAACTTCACTTTTTGAGCAAGTGTATTATCCCTGTAGTTCTTTATCAGACCAGGTAAATGGCATCATTTTGATAATGCATGAAGACTTCAAGGGGCATAAAGTGTTCAATAGAATGATTAGCTTTCATGCTTCCTGTGATTTTATTACTTTTAACACTTCATTAATAAAACAAATCTTTTGTAGTAGAAAGCAAAGAACAGAACTGACTTGATTGCTTTTTCTTCCAAGGAAAAAATTATCATAACTACCTAAGAAATCTGTAAATTCTCTGTATTTATCAGTTAAGTCTCTCCTAAGACAGATCTATAAACTTTACAGGAAAGAAATAAGTGCATTTCTATGTTATAGCTCTTTGAGCAAACATGAGCTACAGATCACCATTTCAGCCTTCGTAAATTCTTCCAAGCTGTTCTAGATAGAAGAAATTATGCTGAAATAGATGTCTCTGATATAACTCTGTTTAGTTTAAAGATTCAAATATGTTCCCACTGATTTCAGGAAAACCACAGATAGTTGCTTCCATTGGTCACAGCATCATGACTTTTGGACAACACAGCTGAAAAACTGCCTCTCTCCCATAGTTCAAAAATGAACTATAACTTACTTACTGCATCTACCTCAATTCTTTTCTGCCTGCAACCCTCATTTCTACCCAGACTTCCCATGCTTCTGCATCCATTATTACAAGTCCTTGAAAGTCATAGTTTTCAGTGCTGCAGTGGTACATATATCCTTGTTTTGAGGAACTACAGCATTTAGGTACCTACTCCCCATAAGGAAAGTAGAAGGCTTCTTATGGTACAATGAGTATCCTCAAACCTTAGTACTGAGAGCAACTTAGAAGCTCAGGACTTTGCGTATGACCACCAAAACATAACTCTAACTTACAGTGGGACTGCATGCACAACTGCACAACCACAGCTACTACAAATAATTGACAATACTATTATTGAGCTTGAGTACGGTACCTGTTTTGCTGCACTGTTGAACAAGTAAACAAGTCCCCGAGGCTTGAGCCCTGTAAACATCAATACTGCATTTTTAATCTGACATTTAACAGATCAATATCATAACAGAGCTTTATATTTATATGTCTACATGCAGATAAAGTAGCTGTGACAAATATATTCTGGGTGAATCACAGCTGTAACAAGGATACATAGGTTGCAAAGCACCTTACACACCAAATAAGACCAAGAGCAGATATAGTTCTTTTGTAGCTCCTTCCTGTTAGCTAGCCCTCAGCTACAAGAGGAAGGGAAGTTATTTCCACTGATCAGCTCATTAGGGTAATGAGCCAAGTATTATATTGGATGGCCTAGCTGTGAATCACTGGTGGAGGTTGGCTGTCTCACCCATGTTCTTCAGTTCAGGGGTGGCAGTCAAAAAGCAATAAATGGCTATGACACTGGTAAAATACAATGCATGTTTGTATTTGACTATTTTTGAGATGTTCTGGTAAAGATGGGTGTCTGCTTCTTCCCCATACCATGTAAGATATTCTCTTTAGTATTAATGCTTTGTAGGGGAAAGTAGTTTTCCTCCTATCCATTTTTTTTTTTAATTACACCCCTTATGACTAATACTTCTTTTAAGTATGGATCTTTTCTAGTTTAGCCAACTATGGCTGCTGTTAATTAATGCAACTTGACTGTGTTTAATTAATTTTGACTTTCCTGTTACTGACTGTTCCTTGGAAGATCAAGCAAATGGATGAAGGCATGTGTGAATATTGTCTGTTTGGATGTAAAAAAAATACATATTTTTCAGATGCAGTATTTTCCAAAGTTAATAAAATGCTTTTGGATAAAACAGGAAATTGCACATAAACAAATTCTAGAAAATTCCTTCCTTTTCTTTGTCTTTCTATAGTTTTTGAAGATTTTGTTTGTTTGCTTGCKTGTTTTCTGGTGGGGAGATGCTCATTTGTCTCTATTGAGTTGAACATATCTTCCAAAGGAATAATAGGAAAAAAAAGGATGAGGGGAAGTGGAAAACAACTTTCTTCTCCAGTCTCCATTCTTTTGTCATCTGTGTCATCAGATGTGATTGCCCTACCCATCTCACAAATCCTTTTTGGGCTGTCTTTTCTATGCAGAGGAAGTGGAAGGCTGTCTCTTATCCAGTGACACAGTGCACAGTGACCACAGCAATGACTACAGAATCTTAATTGAGCTTTAGGTCTGCAATGTGAACAAATGATAATGACACTTTGAAAAGTGGAACTGACGCTTTCAGGGCTATCAAACAGTAGCTGCTGGTGATTCCAAGACACATATCTGGGTGTCTTGGAAGCCTGAGGTTCCTCTCTACTTCCCTCCTTCCACTCTGCTATGTATGCACTCCCTCCACTCCACACCTCTCAAAAAATCCCTGGTAGGCAATGCCTTTTTCAGGTAGATGTCCCTAAAACTTGTCAGGCATTGTTATACACAGTGGTATATTATTCTGAAACCTACAGCTAATAATGTATTTTAATAAAAAGATATGATGAAGATCATACAGTGTGTGCAGATCTTTAGCATGTGCCAAATCTGAACTTTTACATGAACTCCCTGGAAGAGAGAACACACCTACTGATGTGTGTTATATGGGTTTTAAGATAATTAAGAATCACTTAGTTCTCTGAATCAGTAATGCAAACATTAAGCAATAGCTAATGAGACAAGAAAGTACTAAAAACGTAATAGTCCTGACAAAAGTTTGGATTCAAGTGAAGTTAAAGAGAAGAAGATCTGGGTGAATCTTACTACGTGGTTTCAAAGGAAAGTAACCAATATATAAAAGATAACGTGAATCTTGTAGAGAATATAAGAGAAACTTAAATTAGACTCTGTCCCGAACTTGTTTCTCAGGAAAAGTTTGAGTTAATCAGCTGACTAGTTTAATKGACTGACATTCAGCTTTTGAAGAAAACAGCATTTGGGTGACTGGGAAAATAAGTAGGAGTTTATTCTCACAAACAGTGAAACATCGTTAGAAACAAATGATACAGATTCCAGTGAGCAGAGGTGGGTAAGCTAAGGAAGCGTTGTTTTAGAACTGTGGAGAAAATCTGATTTGTTTACCTATTTCCCTTGGATTGGGTGGGGATGGGGAGGAAATTTTCTCAAATAGATAAATTCAGCTAGCCATGATCTTGAGGTCATTCAGAAGGGAGAAATGAAAATGCATTTCAAAAAGAAATCTTAGCTTTTAGGTGAAATGCATGGACACATCTTTATTCATAGTTAACATTCACCAAATTTGGTGTGATCTTGCAGATAGTTTTCACCAACCTGAACTTTTCAGTGGTCTTAAACTAACTTTCCTTAAGCCACCACCTCCCTGCTGTTTATTGGAACAGACTATAGAATGGAGTTCCCCTGAGGCAGGGAACGATCCCACAAGTGCTTTGCCAAAACTAAAAATCTAGTTTCTAGTTTCATTAACAATGAGAATCGACTTGGAAACAGAGTTTAAAAAAAAAAAAAAAAAAAAGGAACAAAGAAAAGAAAAAAGGAAGCCGCTTGCTGATTGCTGATAACCGAGCCGCGGAGCGGTTCCTGGGGTGGGGTTTGTCTGACTGGGCACCTGTGGGCTCTTCCCAAGGGTGTGCCGGATCCACCTTTTCTTCCTCTTCTTAGGCAGGAGCTCCTGAGCGGCAGGGTCCGGCTGTTTGCTGTGCGGCTGTGGGGGCTGCACAAGGACACGGTGTGGAGCCACCTGGAAACCCTCCCCACCGGGCAGCGGAGAAGGCGCCAGCGCTGCAGGCAGGTGAAGCCRGGACAGGGGTGGCTGTGAGCGGGGACCGAGTGAGCGGGGCCGGGCGAGTGAGCTCCACGAGACCCTCTGCAGGACCCACAGCTCTCTGGACCGGCTCCCATCTCTGCCGATGGGTGAAAATTGGCTACGAGTTGCCTTTTCCCAACTGCTTTCTTGGGGATAGTGCTGATCTGCTGCTGTCCCAGACTCCAGTAAACCTCAGTGCACAGCATGGGGAGTGACGGGCAGCAGCGGGGAAAGCGCTGTGACCTAAACTTGGTCCCTTTATTTTTCTGTCGTGGTTAACAAGATGTCTTGTAGCTGTGGTGAGTGGCAGTGGGTGAATTTTAACCTGCCTAAGGGTTGTCGTTCTCTTGGTATATCCGGCAGGATAATCTCTCAGTATCCTATTTTTATAGGCATAGCACATGTTTTAAGGATTGAAATGAAATAATAAGAGAAAACTAGAAATTAATCAGAAAGGATTACTAAAAAAATACAGATTTGGAGGGTTATATGTTTGCTTTCTTAAACATTATGTCAGGTTGCTTATATTTATTGTTGTAACTGTTAATTTAACCTCAGTGATTCAATTTCATTACTTTTAAAATATAAATGTGATATTCCAAGAAGCAAAGCTTTGAAAAGCTTGGAATGTCAGACACTTACTTTCTGAGAATATCACTTGGTTGGTGCATGTGCAACCTGTATGTATGTCTTTACTCTTTAGCTTGATGATCATGAGCAATTATAATTGCTTGGTAAGGCTTAATCATATACAAATTGTTAAGGGAAATCGTCTATTTTTTCTCATACATACTAGCCTGGATGAACTATTATAAATGATTGAGATGATGTAATATTTATACAATATGTAAAAGACTACTTAAGTAGATAACTGCTTTAAATGGTATTGTGGTAGTTTGTTTTTTAAAATTTCCATTTTTATCGTGCTGTTGTAAATGTATTTCAATCATTCTATGTCAATAGGAAAAATATTGATACTAAAATATATTTGTTATTTTGTGTGAAGGTTTTGCCTAATGTGACTTTCACCTCTTTATCTCATAGTTATCCAGCAAAGGAAAAATAATGAGAGATGATTTTGTAAATCATGCAGAAATTGAACTCTCCGGTGATGGTAAGCTGCATACATGAAAGTAATGTGTGTGTTTGATGAATATATTTCACAGCTTTCAATCTAAAGATACATTATAAATCCTCCTTGGTTGCTGTAGTGATTTTGTAGGCAATAGCACATTGGCAGGTCCTGAATATGTGTATTCTATGGCAATTTGCTAGACATATCCTATTTTCTCCTTTATATTCTTCCCGGTCAGTAAGTTTCTGGGGATTTTAAAATAACTAGAGCCACCACCCAGAAAGCATGCATGCCTAAGAGTCATTCCACTGAGTTCAACTGCGTTTATTCATAAGAGTAAAGTTGTTGGGTAGTACTGGCCTGGACTTGCAAATAAGATCAGTCCAATAAGGTAATAACAAACGTTATTGCCTTTGAATGATTATTTAAACAAATCTTTATAGRCTGCCTACAAAGGTACATAAAAACAGTGCATAGGAAAAAATCTACTCAGGATGAGTCAGTAGTTTAGGTCAAAGCAGGTTGGGGATGGTTAGTGTGCTGCCATCATTTCTCTCCATGTGATTTGCCGTTGCTCCCTGTTGTGATTTGGCTCATCAGTTTTTTTATCCACTTATGGCATCTCATGCTATTATAATCATAAATTGTTTTGGTGAGATTCCTCTTTTGCATAGTACATATACACAGTATAGTACACAGCAATATATATGCTACTATATATACATAGAATCATAGAATGCTTAAGGTTGGAAGGGACCTCAGAGGTCATCTAGTCCAACCCACCTGCACACGCAGGGTCACCTAGAGCACGTGGCACAGGGCTGCATCCAAGCAGGTTTTAAAGATCTCCGAATAAGGAGACTCCCCTGGGCAGCCTATTCCAGGGCTCTCTCATTCTCACAGTCAAGAAGTGCTTCCTTAAGTTGCTGTGGAAATTTTGGTGCCTCAGCTTGTGGCTGTTTCCTCTAGTCCTATCGCTGGCCACCACTGAATGTATATGCACATACATGTATGTGTGCACATTGCATGTGTACACTGTATGTGTACATACATGTATATGTACATATATGTATAGTACATACATGTACTCTTTTTGTACAAAGGCTGCATGGCAACTACTGCAATACTGCAATAAAGATAGGATTATAGGCAAAGACACAATTCTGCAGGCAACTCACAGGTATTCAGTGTTGCTTACAGGAATTTTAATCTATACTATAAGCAATTTCACTTTACATGGATAGCAGTCTTTGATACTTTTTCTGTATAAATATATCTTAATGTTGAAGACAAAGGCTCTTTTCATTATAAAAATGAGGCTGCACACATTTTTTCTGGAGTGACAGAGATGAGCTTAAGAAAGAAAGTTTCAAGAAAAAAATAACTGTACTGTTTAAAGAATGTGAGAAAAAATAATCTTTAAGATTTAAATTGCAAAAGAATGAGCAGGGAAAGATGTAAGAAAATGATACAAAGACTGGATGTTATGTCAAAACAAAGTCTGCTTTTTGTTCCACAGAACCTGTAAGCGAGAGGAATTCCAATCCTTCTTTCCAACATGATGAAAATCTTCAACAAAGTGACCAACTGAAGACCAAGAAAAAAAAGTAGGGACTATCTGAACTGAATATTGGCTATTGGCTCTTATTGCTTTGCTAAAATGAGTTTACCTTAACTCAGTCTCTTGTATTGCATTCCAGGAAGAAAAATGAGAAGCCAAAGAAAAAAGTGGTTGGAATTTTTGAATTGGTTAGTCCCCTTTGATGGTCTGTTTTACATTTTCCCTTTCTTTAGCTGTCACTTTGAATTGTTTATGTAGATATAACAGTTAATAGGCAGTGAAAAACTGGAAGAGACATCTGAGACCCAGGAAATGCCCTCCTTAAAATTTGGTCCTCTTTAAAATTTATACTGTTATGTCAAGTTCCCATCACAGTATATTGGAAGTACTTGAAGCAACCTAGTAATAGTGGCATTGCAGAACAAAGTTATCCCATGTTGAGGGTGATTTAGGACACTTACACTGCACAGGTCATTGTGTTAGTTCCTTTTATGAAGGGTTTATCCTGTGCTTAACTTTTTTTTTATGTCAGGTCTCTTTTTATGTCAGGTTTCTACAACAGCTATTCTCAAATATCTCTGTACATATACATGCACATGAACTGAGAAGACTTTTATTTCTTTCTGATTTATTCTGTGACCTTTTATACTTTGTAAGTGTGTTAATGTCAGGAATAAGATATGACTTAAAATTAGACATTCAGCTATCTATTCAGCATCTATTCAGAAATATATCTATTATTAGATTATTATATCTATTATTAGATTGTTATACCTATTATTAATATATCCAGGAATGGCTATTTCACTTTAAATTCACATTTTTTTAAACCAAACAAATGTTCAAGGATGGACCATTCTTAAGATACAATCATCAAGGCAAACAATTTCTACTGATAGCCAGGTACTAGTTGATAACTCCTAGTAAATATGTAACTAGGTGGAATGCAATATGTAATAAATTGTACAGAGATGAACATCAGTTAGAAACACAGAAGATGCATTCTTTTTTTTTCCTTTTGAGGAAATAACCATGTATACTGCCAACATTCAGCAACAGCTTTACTGAATATTGATTTAAATATATATGTGACCTGTTACAAAATTATTCTTATGTTCTTTTACCTTTAGTTTTAGTTTTGCTTCTTAGAATGTATATGTGAAAACAAAGTATGTTTTGGAAATATGCTGTCCTGCAACAAGGATATGAATTGTCGGACATAACCTCACTGKTTTTTTTTGTTTGTTTGTTTGTTTATTTGTTTGTTTGTTTTTCTTTAATAGTTTYGCTATGCTGATTGGGTGGATATACTTTTGATGGTAGTTGGTTTGATAGCAGCAACTGCAAATGGTACCGGTTTACCGCTTATGATCATTGTCTTTGGAGACATGACAAATTCTTTTGTTCTAAGTGGTATGAACTCAAGTATACCAGAAAGTAAGTGAATAGACTTCTCTAAGCATCAGTTCTATTTTGTGAGAGGGGCTAAGATATTCCCCTGACTGAGTGGTGGAACACATAAAAAGTACATGATGAGAAAAATTAATCCCTCTGCAAATTATCAGATCATTTAAATCAATCTTTGGTGGTTTGGACAGGACAAACAGAGTTTTTGTGGGACAGTAGGGTGCATGACCAACTTTTGTACTTTTCTGACCTTATTACCATGTTTTTTTAGTGTCTGTCTGATTTCATTTGCTTAATGCAGAACACCCAAAAAATGATGACCCTAGGCTGTCATAATTTATTTTCTATACATTTTATAATTTTAATTGCATAATTAATAGATGATTTTTTTTTTGCAGATACTTCAGCAAATGTTTGTTTAGTTCCAGTAGATATAGAAGTTGAAATGACAAAGTAAGAATCTTTGCAATTATTCTGTTAATAATAGGGTTTTTTTTGTTTTTCTGTTTTTTTATTTTCCCTTTGAGCAGAAGCAAAATTTTGCCTTCTTAGAAGACTTCCCAACAATTTATTGTATGCTTTGGTATTTACCCTAGTGGAGTAAATAAAGACTAACTGAAGTCTTCTAGATATCACTTCTCTTACAGGATACAAAGTGATTATATGGCCTTTTTATTCTCTTATCTCAGATTTGCTTACTACTATGTYGGAATTGGCTGTGCTGTATTGATACTAAGCACCATCCAAGTGTGGACATTTTTGACTGCGGCCACAAGGCAGACAGCAAGGATTCGTCAGAAGTTCTTTTTTGCAGTTCTTCATCAGGAGATGGCCTGGTTCGATGCTACCCAGATTGGAACGCTGAACACCAGACTGACAGAGTGAGGACTTTATTTATTTTTGCCCCCGCACAATGTGATGTTCAAAAGAAAACTGCCATTCTTCTTCTATGGAATTGCCTGTAGAGAGTATTGAAGAAAACCTTGAACTGAAATGTGAAATATTGCAGCTCTCTGAGAGAKGAATTCATTATCCTTTTCTGCTTTGTTTGTGGAGTTTCTGTAAAAAATGCATTGGAAGAGTTTACCCTGGGAAACACTGTAGTCTACTGTTCTGACATTGGCATTGCAATATTTATGAAATACATGGCAGGTAGTACCAGATAAACAGTTCATCTGTCTCTAGCTAATTTACAAACACTGAAAGCTCTGACASTTTACTGAATGGGTATGAACTTGCATTTATATTCAACCAGATATCAGTCTGGACTCAATTCAAAGTCAGCTAAAAACTTTTGAAGCTTTTCCATAGACTTAATAYGTTTAGGGGTGAGGACTGCATACCCAGTATGTGGTAGAGACCATAAGGATGAACACAGATTTCTCTCAGTTATAAGATCACTTTTGACAGAGCTGTAGCCTAAAAGCTGTAAGAGAGGCTTAAATGAATCCACTCACAGCTCTAAGATCTGCATTTCTTAAGAAGAGAAAAATGAGAAGGAAAATGGCATGAAAAACAGAGGTTCTTCCAAATAACAATTTTATGATAGAAGAGAGATAAGCCTTGATCTGAGAATGTGACCAAAACTAATAATATAAAATTCATCAGAGAGCTCAGAGGAAGAAGYCATTTAGAAAAGGTCATAGGAGGTGAAAGGATTGTTTGGCTGTTTACTTGTATTATTCCATTTAGATACTGGATAAGGAAACTAAGGTCATTTGTGACCCAGAGATAGGACACAGAAACATCAGAGAATGATATAAAGTACAGAAATTGAGTCCTAGAAAATAGGATATTTCCACTATACTTTGGCCACACAAGAGACTAATGGTACAATTCAGCAGCTGTGGTTAGAATTTTTCCTGTGCCAATTATGAAATTGCAAAACTTCTTGCGCTTCATGAAACTGGAGAATGGGTTAAGGGTTAAAATAAGCACTTTAAATTGATTTTTTTTTCTTTTYTTTTTTTTTTTTAGTGACATCAACACCATCCATGAAGGCATTGGAGATAAAATTTCTATATTTGTACAATTTTTTGCCACATTTCTGGCCGGAATTATTATAGGATTCATCCATGGCTGGAAGCTGACATTAGTGATTTTATCAATCAGCCCCCTGCTTGCTGCATCAGCAGCAGTTTGGTCAACTGTAAGTGTCTGGGACTAGTAAAGAAAGCAAGCCAGGAAAAATCACAATTCTTGTATGCAGGAAAGAGGAAGAAAAACCAGCTAGAATGAGCTCTGAATTGTGAGGCTGATCTCATAGTTATTTTATCATTTCTTCTCRTTTCCTATGCTACTTCAGATGGCATAGGAAAAATCAGTGAAATAGCTGGAGAGGTGTTCTTTAAAAATAGGGAGAGATTTTTTATTCTTGGCAATTTGTTGTAGTCATATTAATAGGTCCTGATTGTATTCTTTAAGTAGAATTCTGKTTTTTCCCCTTGAAGCAAATGTGTGAGAAAAAAAGAAAATCAKAAGCCATTATGTAACGAGCTTGTTTTCTTCAATATGCGTTATTGCTCTTGTTTCTGAACACCTCAGCTTTCAGTGTTTGTATGGTCTGAGCCACTGTTATGTAAAAAAGTACTGTTTACCCCCATTTGATGGAGAACAGAAGTACTTGCACTGCCTGTTAAAGTCATCTTTAAAGAGCAGACTTCCCTAATGCCTTCAGGGGGACCCCAAGGGGCAGCACCAGGGTGGCTATGGCACACTTCCCTGACCATGCCAAATGCTGACACGTGTCATAGCGTAGTTCAGAGGCTGTCCTCAGAATGGGAGGAAGATGGGTCACAAAGCTCTTACATTTGTCTAGTCTTTCACTGTCATTTGGACACAATCAAAAAAAAAGCTAGACAGTTTGTGAATGTTCACAACAGATAGAGGAGTTGATCCCAGCTTTCCTAAATTTATTTTTCTTGCACTTTGCCCAGTGATTCTTCACCAATACAGTGTCCATATCATTTTGATAAGCTGCAATAAATTCTGTTTTTGAATTTTCAAGCTCCTGGCATCACTTACTGCTAAGGAGCTGTCTGCTTATGCTAAAGCAGGGGCTGTAGCAGAAGAAATTTTGACAGCTGTGAAGACTGTTGTGGCTTTCAATGGACAAAAAAAAGCAATAGCAAAGTAAGTTCTTGAATTAATAATAATTCCACTTAATATATGCAAAAGAAGTTTGCATTTAGGGTATCGGAGAGGGGTAAAAAGAGCATGGCAGACTCTCCTTGGAATCAGTTTATCCTTCTTTAAGTGAACAGTTCACCTGAAAATAAAGATGGGTAAGTAAATCAAGTCCATGATCATAGACTATTCAGTTTTACCACTACAGTATAGTCACAAATTTCTCTTCCAAAAGAGATCTGGAGTTAAATTCAGAAATCAAAGTTTTGGAAGGGTTACCTTTGTCTAGTACTCAAAAACAGCCAAACATGTGATTAGTTGCCTAACTTCTGGAACATGTGCCCTGCTGTTCTGATCTTTGATTAATGAGCTCATATTTAAGCTTCACTGGCTAAAGACCTTGGGTAAAATCGCATCACTGGCTTTTATTACTTCAATGCTTTTCAAATAACACTTGTAGTTAACCTAACTTAGTCTTAGTCACATGTAGAAGGAGAGTCACAGAAGGTGCATTGGATATGGGAGGCCAGAATTTCATTCACATGTATGTCAAATATGCTAACAAGTAAGCAAATGAAAAAATCAGTGCATAGATACAGAGCATCACTAGTGCCATCTACCTGAGGTATGCAAAGACTTAGTCTATAYGATCCATAAATCTCTTGGTTCTTTTTAAGCTCCCATGTTTGCCTTGCCCTTGTACAAATTTTCTTAAATGATGTTAGCTTTAGCTCTGGGTCTTATAGTCTGTTTTTGTATTTGCGTGCTTCTACCAGATGATATCTGTCTATATGGTACTGATCTCATCTTACTGTATTTTATCCTTAAATTATAACAATTTCAARGCTTTTTTGAGTGATCAATTATACTTGTAATCTCTACTTAAGTCCAGTTCTCATTCACTGTTCCTGAAGGATCTGTGATACTGATGACAAAGCAACCTAGCCAAAGCATCTCAGTATATTYGAGTATACAATATAGAATCAGTAGAATGCAGTAATTTACGTAACCAAAATTAGTTTGAGTCATTTCAAGATCCTTCCCTGCTGACTAAATTTGACCGGTCACTTCAGATCTTCCTATTATGGGGAGCTTGTGTGTATAAAATGTGCGTTAGGAAGAAACTGCAGGCTGCTGAGTCATGCCACTGAGAGGTGAAATGATATATGTGATCACTAAGTTATACTTTACATAAAGAGCTTGAGGAATTGAAAGCTATTAGTTGGAAACTAGAGAAGAGTGAACTTGAATTGTCCTTAAAAAATAATTATTTCACTGAATTTATCAGTCTTTGTATTACCTTTATGTGCCCACTCATATTGTCATGCTAATCAGTAAATTAACTTGAGAGAAAGACTTAAGACTTTCAGAATRGCCAGCAAGAGGCAAACTGTTAGTCAGCAGAAGCTCTGGCTTCTATGCATTTACCTGGCTTCATCCATAGTGTTTTTTTAGAGAGGGGAAGTTGTTTGTTTTTTCAAAATATTTGGAGGACTTAATCTTACGTTTGATAGGTGATGTTGATTGAACCATTTCCAAGATTTACTTTCAGATTTAAGAAAAACAAACTACTCAACGGGGGTTTTGTGTCTTTCATCATGAAAATAAAGTCATTGTACTTACTTGTTTTCTAACTTTTTCTTCCACAGTGGTAGTTCAGGTCTGAGAGGCGGATTTAGATGTTTTCAGAACATGTCAGAGCAGGTTTATTTCAAAGAATTATGATTCCATATTACTTCTAGGCTTCTGTCAAAATATTTTGCATGCTAGGTTAGAATCTGGTTAATTGCTTTTATGGCAGTAAAAAAAAAWTGACATTTCCCACTGCCCTTTTTTAATTCAATCAGTGGCATGTAGTATCTAACAAATTAATCATTTCTTCATCAATTTTCAGATATGATGTTAACCTGGAGTCAGCTAGAAATGTTGGAGTGAAAAAATCCATTACTACCAACACATCTCTAGGTGTTTCACAATTTTTGATCTTTGCATCCTATGCACTTGCATTTTGGTATGGAACCAAACTCACTGTGGAGGAGCAAGACGTCTATAATATTGGTCGTGTACTGATTGTAAGTACAACAGTGYGGCCTTGAAAAATGCTCTAATATTTCAAGCAAATACTGCTATACAAGCAGTCTGTGTAATTATCTGATCTTTCTGATGGTGATCACCATCCATGAAATGTGTATTGAACTAGCTGCTAAAGACTTGYTTGGTATAAAAGAATCAAGAGGAGAGCATTTGTCTATGTAACTTTTGATATTTAAAACTTAGCCATGTATTGTGAACAGGACCTTTGAATATACACTATAATCAGTGTTGAGGCAAGAGTACCTGCAGAGTATGACTTTTCCCACTTGTCTTAGACCTTGTTGTAGGGCAGGATGTCTAGGTAACAGAGACAAGTAATTTGGATTGCCACCAAAATTCTAGCTAGCTTAAAAGATTAAAGGAATCCCTTTGTTAGGAGTGAGTGTATACTCTGAAGTCTTTCAGATCTCATTTGGCCATGGTGTCTTTTTTTGTGAGAGGTGGTAGTGTTCATTTGCAAGTAACTTTACATTGCAATATTAGCAGTATGTCTAGGTTGCTGTTGCTTTGGAGGTATTTGGCTGTTTTCTGCAAAAGTTTGTTTACATGCTTAACTTYCAGGCTGTGAGCGACTTCTGATGAGTTCTTTTCAGCTCTCTTCCTCACAGCAAGTGAGGCAAATTGCATATGTTGGTTCCACAATTAGGATTTCACTAGAAACTCTGGAGTGTGTTTTGGGAGCTTCATGCCTTTGGGAACATCTGGAAAGCAAAAAAGAAAGATATTTATTCTGATTGATGTTCCTGTCATCTGCAAAAGGAAAAGCAAAGCCACAACCATGTATAAGTAATTATTATTCCTTGCCAAAAAAGTGGGTAGGAACTATTATRAAATTGACATTTTGATTTTTACATTTGATTTTCCTGGGAAGAATGCACTAGAACGTCTTGGAAATGACAAGTACTGGCAGATCTGTAATCCCCACCAACATTATAACCTCTCTCTGATACAGGTCTTCTTCTCTGTGCTTATCGGTGCCTTCTCTCTGGGACAGGCAGCTCCCAATCTCGAGAGTGTGGCTAATGCTCGTGGAGCTGCCTATGAAGTATACAAAATTATCAAAAAGGTATTTACAAAGGAGCTTTTCAGCTGGATTTACATTTTCCACCTTTGTCCTCGAGGGATGTAACAAAGAAAAAAAAGTCCCAAATGTCTCCAAACAAATAGATGATCTGCCTACTGATGAAACCAATGCTAGGATATCTGCCTTGATATAATGGAATCTGATTATGTCCCAAACAAATAGATGATCTGCCTAATGCTCGAACCAATGCAAGATATCTGCATTGTTGTAATGGAATCTGATTCTTTTTTGATACAATAAATTTTTGGAATCCTGGAATGTGCATATTTGACRTGTGCATGAGGTCTTTCTCTAATATTAGATTTGCAGTTATAAAGGGGAAGTAGCAAGGCRCTATGCCACTTTGTTTAATACCTATATGTACAATTTCAGATGAGCGTTTTATTTGGACATTAATAGTGCTATTGATATTTATAATAATACAAAGTTACAGTGATGATGTTGCTATAAAAGTATGTTTCTACATTATTTTTGTTTTGGTCTTATATAATAACAATTATTTTATACAATAATTGTTTATCGATGTATATATGATTTTAAATAAGACTAGAAAGCTAATATAAAAATGGCTGAATTTTCACAGTTTATGGAGTATGAAACCCTCCTATATGTGTAACTGAGGCCCACGTTTTGGCCATGGGATAGAACAGATAAACAGATAGAACAGATAGAACAGTGTAAACAGCTGAATCTGCACTTCCAAAAGTACAGTAATAAGAAATGCACTCTAAAAAATCTCTCTTTCCAGAAACGTCTTATAGATAGTAGCTCTCAGGAAGGCTACAAACCGGACAAGATCATAGGAGAAATTGAGTTCAGAAACATACATTTCAATTACCCGTCCAGACCTGATGTTACAGTAAGTATTCATTGTAGTTGTATCTAGTGTAATGAAATTCTATAGTCGATRTCTGTATTTTTTATTTAATCCTTTTGTTATTATTGTTCTTCAATGCTTTCTTGGCTCAGATATCAAAGGCAACAGGGCAGAGCTCTTCATCCTTCTTAAAGAACTCTCTAGGAGATGAGCAATTTTGTATCTCTGCAGGCCAAATGGGAGGGAAAGAAGAAATATTTTTATCATCTCTCCCAAATCTGAGTCAGCATTCTGCCTACTAATAGTATCAAATAATATTAATAGAGCTATAAAGAATCATGAAAGATATGTGGAAGTTATCCACAATCTCCCAAGAAGTTGATGCAATACAGTGTAATCTCCACTGTCTAGACTAAATCAAATCAAATATAGCTACTGTCAGTGTTAATCTTGACAACACCTTTCCTGATAACAGTTACTAACAGCCTATTAGATGGGTGTGACTATTGGCATCTGAAGAATTTGTGGTATCAAGAATATAGTTTTCGTTTGATATGTGGGCACCAGGATATCAGCACTGTCGAGATGTGAACCTCACTGGTTGTAACATAGGCAGAAAAACACAATATTGCAACAATTTCAATTGCTCACTGCAAAAATATGTGTRGGCAAAATTGTAAATCAACCTGATATAAACAAAAATTCCCATAGCAGCAAATATTTTGACAACTACACAGTATTACTCATACAGAAAAAGGATATCTTTTGAGGTAAAATGATCCTAAATGTGAAAATGGCAACAAAGATACTTTTACCTATAACCATTTTTCCCAAGGTTGCTCGGGCTATTAATAATAAGGGTTGAGATTACAAAAGGATGTTCTGGCAGTTACCTTGTCAAGACGACCATTTGCAGACCAAAAATAGATCAAAACAAGCTTGTTTCTCAGCAATAATGCTTAGCACCTTTGAAAAATAGTTATGAATCCCTCAGAAAAAAAAATGTACTATTTTATGAGTGTTGAAAAACAAAGGAGGACAGCAACAGAACATATGACATATGAGTCTGCTACAATATCACATAAGTAGAAGAAAAAGAGCCATTAAGTTTTGACTTCTGTGGCTGTGCCTATATTTGTTCATTTGAGTGTTTTAGGGAATTTTTCCCAGGCACTGGAACAAAATGGTCTAAGCAGGGAAACTGTTGAAATGTTGCTTGGCATGAACTTGTCCTGTTCCAATCATCAGTCTTCTCAAATAATTCCCAGACTTGGTTTGGTAGCCAGAATGATGGGAGGGATCATTCCCAAAAGGCAGGTTGCCTACTGTTATCCTGTTTTGGAGTCTTATATGCTTCACAGGCATAGTGTAGACTGTTCCAYAACAGTGGTCCAGAACATTCCCAGGTATATTTAATTTTCTACTGTTGCCATACCCTGTCAGATGACTCCTTATGCCATAGTCTTGATGATAGCTTCAATTATCTTGCCAGGCTGTTTTTTAATCAATCTACCTTTTAAAGTAACTACAAATTTGTCAAGCTAAAACATAAATATTGAGTTTTTAGGGGTTTTGGTTTTCTTTTTCCCCCAGATTCTCAAAGGTTTAAATTTGAAGGTTCAAACTGGGAAGACCATTGCTCTAGTTGGTGCCAGTGGTTGTGGAAAAAGCACCAGCATTCAGTTGCTACAGAGATTCTATGATCCCGACCAAGGAGAAGTAAGTTCCTACAAATGAATTATAAAAACTAAGTWTTAGGATGCCATGAATTTTACATTTTAAACTAACTTTGGTTATTGATTGAATTCAAAAATAATCTCTGCACAGTTTTGTAATTCCACAATTTAAACTTCAAATGAACTGTATTTTTTTCTGATGATCTGACTTTTTCCTTATTATGTTCCTTCTTTTTTCAGTAGCTTGCCAGAAGTAGTAAATACGACAAATCTTTCAACAGATGCAAAGATATGAAATTAAAATTCTTCTTATTAACAGTTGGCTAATAGTCTGTAAACTTTGTACTTCTTTCTTTTTTTCTCTCTTGAAAATAAAAAATTATAATCCAACTATGCTATGCTACATTTTCCTTCCTTTTCACTGAGCAAAACAAAATCCTATTTTTTCCTATTTTAAATAATTGTTTTCTTGACTCAGTTTTCTGAGTCTGCTAGCCCACAGCAAAACTTTGCATCATTATAYATTGCATGTCTGCTTTTTTGCCACTAAACACCAGATCTCATCAACAAATGTTATTTCTCATGAGAAATTTTTGAAGGAAAAAAGGAAAAAAAATGTATATATGAAAAATGTTATTTCCTACATTTCAAATATTAGGGAGTAAGCTACTACTATAATAGTATATCTAGGTAGCTATCGATTATCAACACAGTAGTTCCTTAGTTACTGTTTCCACTTGCTATACATAGATTAGTTTACTGTTTTCCTGCTATATTTGTGCCAGTGTAAATTTTTGTAGAACCATGTGGCAAATGATCTGACTTAGAAAAATCATGTCCCTTATCCTTTTTGGTAGACTTAGATTGCTTCTTCAACCTGATGTGAAGCTCAGCCACAGAGCCGCAACTGAGATGATGGCAAGCTGTGGCACAGGGATGGGAACATGGGGAGAAAAGTAATCAAGGAAGAAGATGAAAATTTCTTAGGACAGCTTGTTTTCAGACAACATATTCATTAAACAAACCTCGATGTCTTTTGTGTTTATACTCTCTTCTCCATTTTTTGTTCATGCAATAGATGGAAAAATTCTCTCAGTTTAGTTTTCTACTAAAGAAAACAGTAAGAAAGTTACTTTTCTTTTTCCTTGTAGCTGATACTTATGTCAGGTAATAATCACTTGCCTGTTTCAATTGATTTATTGTAAATATATTTCCTCATTATATTTGACATATGCTTTTCCTCTCAGGTTACGTTAGATGGAAGAGATATTCGGACACTTAACATAAAGTGGCTAAGAGAAAATATTGGTATTGTGAGTCAGGAGCCTGTTTTGTTTGCAACAACAATAGCTGAGAATATTCGCTATGGCAGAGAAGATATTTCTGATGCTGAAATTGAACAAGCAGCTAAAGAAGCCAATGCTTTTGATTTTATATCAAGACTGCCTGATGTGAGTTCATGAACTTCTTTAGCTTAAGAACCAAAGGTCTGTTTAGGCCAGTGCCCTTTTTCTGACAGGAAGAGCATGGAAAATCAACCTATAGTGTAACTTCCCAAAATATTTTTATAGCCTCCAGCAGCTTTCAGTTCAGGGACTTTTTGGGCCAGAAATCTTGCCTTTTTGTGGTTGCCCTCACCACAGTGGKTTTTTTTCCTGTGTCTAGAAGAGACTCAGGAAAACAGAAGCCACATGGCTGTATTACSATCCCTGCTGAACTAGCAGTATAGGAAGAACTGGTCTTTTAACAAAAAGATCTAGAAATCCAAAAGCTCTACATGAGAAGACATCTGTGCAATTTAATAGGAAATAGGGAAGTGTTCATAAAGTCATCAGCAAATGCAGAGGTGTCTTTTACAGGATTGACTAGAGAAGAGCCAGCGTTTGGAGCACTATGAAAGCAAAGAGTAATGATCAAGACTTTAAAGTTCAAATTTAGACATGTAAAATATGTAATGAGGGTAGGTGAACTTAGTTAATGGCTAGYTGGACAATGTTTGTTTTGCCCATGGCCAGGTCAGGCAAATAAACTACCATTGTCTAGAAGCTGGGAATGAGTACAGCACTGTTCTTATGGTCTGTCACACTGATAGAGAAGTGTATACTTTGAGGCATTCTGTAACTTTTATTTTTCCTCTGGTCTCAGAAATTTAACACCATGGTAGGGGAAAGAGGGGCTCAGCTGAGCGGTGGACAGAAACAGCGAATAGCYATTGCCCGTGCCCTGGCAAGGAATCCTAAGATTCTTCTTCTGGATGAAGCTACATCTGCATTAGATACTCAGAGTGAATCCATAGTGCAAGCAGCTCTTGATAAGGTATGAATTTTATTATTAAAGCTATCAGTCACGTGAAAAAGCACAGTACAGCAGCACTTGAGGAAAAATTAACATGCACTTTTCAGTGTAGTTTTCTASTAGGCTCAAAGACATTGGAAAATAAAATTTGGATGGATGTTTTGATKTGTTATAATAGTCAATTTACAATAATTAAAATGCCACTTGGGATTATTATTTTTATTTATTTATTTAGCATATTTACTAGTTATCAAGACTTTTATGCACAGATCTAAGTGTAATTTAGGTCTCCTGCTCTTTTCTCAAATCAAAATTGTTAATTTCCCTGTGAAGTATGGATGGTATGTTACCAAGACAAGGCATGAGGCCTGAATGACCTTCCAGGATAAATTAATAGAAACATACGTTACGATATTCCTCATATTGATTCCTCATTGAGTAGAATCACTTCGTAATCTTCAGACAGCTCTGGGAATTTATCTATGTTCTTTTTCACAAATAGAGACCAAATGTAACTTGGAGCTTGGACTGAATGAAGAGCTGAGCTAGTTAACAGCACCAAGTCTCTGTCTTCCATTTGTTACCAGCACCCCGGCTTTAGGATGGAGGTTACTGTGAAGCAAAACTGTTGGACGTGCTATGCCTCTGTCTCTCCATCTCATGACCCCTTCCTTAGCATGATATTCCTACATCAGGAAAAGGAAAAGGAGTCAATAGCCTTTAAATAACCAAGAACTACTTGGTTGGTCTGGGATGTTGTGTCACATATCTAATGTGTATTTTTATGTATGATTTTAAAAAGTTTAGTGAAGCTTAGCTTAGTTATTTTCATGAACATTTTAATGTAAATCGCAAATTTTTTTTCTAAAAGGCTCGGAATGGGCGCACCACCATTGTAATTGCTCACAGACTTTCTACTGTCAGGACTGCTGACACTATTGCTGCACTTGAGAAAGGTGTTGTGGTTGAACAAGGTACACACAGTGAACTCATGTTACAGAAGGGAGTCTACTACTCACTGGTAATGCAGCAGGTAATAACATTTTTCTTTTTTTTTCTTTTTTTTTTTATCACTGCTTAAAGTATTGCATATACAAGRTGCTGCTAAAGACACATGCTGACGTCGCATGCTGACCTGTGCTTTCTCTGCATAGTTCCCACAGAGTTCCCGTATTTTTTTTCTACTTGTAACAGTTGTAACATGTCAACAGATCATGCTGACATGATCTAATATGTCAAAAACATAACTGAGTAGAAGGCAGACTACAGAATTGTCACAGAACTGATAGATTCCAGATCCAATATACATGAAGTGCTTAAAAAAATTAAAAAAGCAAAATACTACTTCTACTGTTTCAGGACTAATGAAACAAATGTGCTCACATGATTGAAATAGCAATATTCATGAGAAAAAAAAAAGAATCACTCTTCCTTCTCTACATTCAAAATGTATTGTGATTATGTATCCTGAATTGTCTCTAGGGTTGTAGCAATAATATTGAAGATGACAGGACATCAGAAGAAGATGAGGAATCAGAAGTGGAGGAATATAGACAAAACAATGGAAATGACCTTGTGCAGGAATTAACTGATCAAGCTGGTTTTGGGGATCTGGAGATCCTTAAGAAAGGCAGTATCCATAGAAGATCCAGCAGATATAAGAGTAGGAAACGCTCTTCTAAGAAATCCTCTGAAAAAAAGAAGAAAAAGGACCTAGAGGTACGTACTAAAATTTTACTTCAGTGTCTAGTGATAGCTTGCAAGCATAATCACAAAGCACATTAATTACTTTTAGATAGCTGATGGCCATGCATGCAACATTTACTTGGTGCTATTATAGAGAATACAACCTATGGTGAGCATTTACCCTGAGTAACAAAGCAAAAACATGTAAGTTTTACATATCAAAAATCACATTTGGACACTATGGACCTAAAATGTGTCAATAAAAAAAGTGTCTCTGTTAGATTATAATTGGTTAAATAAAGAGGAAGTCTCAAATTTTGTCCTACTTCATAAATTAGGAGTATAGCATGTTCTAATTCTGTCTAGATAATAATTGTGAGATATCATTTGCAGTATTATTTGCAACACTTCACATCAGGAAGTATAAACTTACGGATAATATACATGGGTAATAATGTGAATAATAAGGGTGTGCTTATCAAGTTTTGGAAATCAGGATTTCATATGTATGCAGCTTCAGATTATATAGTGTATTTTTGAAAGCCATGTTGTCCTTTGTATCTTCTGGGTTTTTTTCACTAGAATATGGTTAGTAGGTAGTGCATGATGCAAACACATCAAAACTGCAAGAGAACCGAGTGCATTTGTATTATCAAAAACAAAATATAGGTTTAAAACATACTTTTTGGTTATTTATTATGTTCAAGTTTAAGACCTTACAGGAAGCGAGACTACATATTCGTGGCTTAGTATTCATCACTTCTAGTAGTTTTTTTTTTTTTTTTCAGTTTCAAAAAGTTCAATTCACTGTTGTGGTTGAAGCTCAACAACCCTATACATGTGAAGCACAGGCTAAAAGCATCATCCGATGAGGCCAAATCTCATCCATTTTTTTGTCTAATTTCCAATGTTTTCGCTTTTTRCTTTTCCAGAGCTTCCACAGTGAAGACACAGACATAAGTGTAAATCAGTAAAACACAAGAGAGCATTTATGTATTTTAAAAAGAGAAGCAGGATAAATCACTGTTACATATGCCTCTTTCATGCTTYTGATAATGATGCATAGACTGTATTTTGTAAAAGAAAAAGACATCTATATCCAATTGTATTACTGCCAACCCACCAGCATTTAACTGAAATGGAACCAGAGGGATCTTTTCTGTGCTCTAGACAGTGAGACTTTTAGTTCTTCATAATGATTCAAGTGTTATAGTTGCTATTCATGGTGACTAATCCTATCTGACTTTCAATGAACTATACTGACTCTTCTCCTCCCACAACTTAGCCTTTTGTTAAATTTTTGTCTCCAGATTTATATAGTGCAATTGAAGTCCTAGGATATGAAACAGCAAAGCAGCAGATCTCCAGCATGTTTGCTCATTCAGACAGTGCACATAGAGAGCTTTCAGTGGCTTAATAAGACAATTCACTACTCACTGCATAATTAACTCCTACTCTCTAAGGAGTTTTGTGTTCTGGGGAACTTCCTGAGGAAAACTTGCAAACTTTCCTTTCTTCTAGGAAGAAAATCTCCCTGCTGTATCATACTCCAGAATCCTGGCTCTAAACAAACCTGAATGGCCATATATAGSACTAGGAGTGATTGCTGCTGCAGTTTTAGGTGGGGTCCATCCTACATTTGCTGTTCTATTTGGAAAAATCATTGGGGTAAGTTTTGCCCAGTCGTTGAGTTGCTGATTTTCCCTCATTCCAGTCAGTTCTTTCTATGTAAGACTCTGGGTGGGATCCACTCATGTAAATGTAGCCCTATGGTTTCCCCTCAGGTGACTCAGACATGGAACAGTATAGAGAAGACCACTAGATGCCTACCTCTAGATAACAGAATTACATGGGGGTAGAAGGAAAGTGTCAAGGTTACCACCTCTGCAGTCTAACAGAGTTTTTTTTCTCTGTGTTTTTTGGCTGATGTTTGTTYTTATGTTTGTTTGTTTTTCCCCCCATAGTCTAAACAGTTTGGACCTGAGCTTCTCTCCAGCTTAAATATTTTCTGTTTTCCTTTCCTATACCTCATATAAAGAATTTTATTATTATTATTCCTCAGGTTAGTTTTAATAATACTTTTGTGTATTAAACCCTAAAGTCTTTCAAGATGCCTTGTGTTGTCAGTGCCATCTAGAACTATTGGACTTCATAAGCAATTGCTCCTTTGTTTCCCATATCATTACAAGCAGTGAGGAGTCTTCTTTGGGATTCCTATGCCAAACAGTTCCTATACTATACTGCGCAGAAAGGAGACTGGAGGGAAAGCTTTCCAGGAAACTTGAAGGCTCATGGATTTGTTTGCTGGAGAGATAGATTCCAAAGAAAAACAGATAAAATTGGTGAGCTGACCATGTAGAGGCAGAGCTCTTGAGGGAATTGCAACTAGTCATCAGAAGAAAAGGCAAATAGTTGGAGCTGGGGGTAATGAGCTAACATGATATAGRTTAAAAGCAAAATCGTACTTCCTCCTGACATGCAACAGAGCTGAATATAGACTGAGTTCATGGTCTTGGAGACTGCTATGAGAAAATGCGATGGAGTAGTTTCTTGAGATGAATATTGGTTTATTTGACCGGCTATCATTGTCCATGTGCTATTTCTTGTGTTTTYTCTTACACAGGCTTTCCAAGAAACGGATGGAGAAAAAAGGAGTAAGAACACTTTGCTGTTTTCTCTAATGTTTCTTGTACTTGGAGTGATCACGTTAGCAGCTTACATAGTCCAAGTAAGTGTCACTACACTGAAACACTAGAAATCCTTATCTCCCCAATAGGCTGCAGGTAAAATTGCTATCAGCTCAGTATAAGGAGGAAGACAGAGCTTACAAAACCATGTATAAGTTCCAGGATTCTTTGTGAGATAAGTTATTTTTATTCATGTTTTTACCTAAACACAGAGTCATWTTCTCTGTAGGTTTAAATATCAATGGATTCAATTGGCTGAATCAAATTTGAGGGCCTAACCATAAAAGATGTAGTTATTACTTACATGTACCATTGACAGTGTAGACTTTTCCTTTCCCAAGGAAAGCTACTGAATGGCTGGTACAGAATAGACTTTTTCATAGATGGACTTTTTCATACCTACCAACAAAGTCCTCAGCTTTAAATCCTCTTATTAATGTTCTGTGCCCTGTGGGAAATCATTACTGCACACCGATCCCAAAATCCATTGGTATGACTGGTACACCTCAGAGATGAGGTGGACATCTCTGGTAGCAGTCTCAGTAGAGAAGCCAATATCTGATTGGGCTGTGATGTGATTAATTTATCCTTTGACATGGTGAGGCATAGGAAAAGATATTGCAACAAAGCTCCTGCTTTTTTTTTTTTTTTTTTGGCCATGTGGATACTTTTCTGGGGGAAAACAGAGTTTCAGTTCCAGRAATAGGAATGTTACACTTGCAAATTTTACAAATGCACAGAAGTTTGCAAGAGACTTCTTGGTGTCATGGCTTTTATTGTGTATTTTTTCTAATCTGATGACGTAGCTCACTGTATGAAATATGAACATTTATCCTACCTCCCCTCCACTCACAGGGATTCATGTTTGGAAAGTCTGGGGAAACACTGACAATGAGATTGCGCTCTTTGTCCTTCAGAGCATTGCTTCAGCAGGTATGAGTTTTACAATGAGGATATCATGAGAGCCAGATGGCTTCTGCAGATTGTCACACAATGTATGTTTGCTTTCAGTTGTGTGGTCTGGAGAAAAGACAAACAAAAACCTATCTTTATTACTAGTGGCTTTGAAAAATATACTGCTTTTCTGGACGTCTCCTATCCTGTATGCAATTTATGTCAGTGCTACTACTGTAAATAGTCTATTTTTGAAGGAGTATGATTACAGATGGTGCACACATGCACATTTCTGAAACACTAACACAAACATGGTTGGCAAGAATCTGGGTGAACATAGACAGCTGCAAGGAGGCCYGAAAAAACTTAGTCTGTACTCGCTTAGGTGGTCATGATGCAAGTATATAATGTGTAGATTTAAATTTAATCTGTTTAACTGATCAGATTTAAATCTMTATATTACAGTGCATAGCAAACAAATTATTGCTAACCTTTTTTTACTGAAAAAAAAATGAAAACTATCTGCACTATAGCATCAAGATTTACTTGTGAGAAATAAAAATMTTAAATTCAATTCTCTCTGTTAATAGATTCATGAGTTTTCACACAATTGATTGTCACTTGCATAGGAATTTTGTGGGTGAATAATTTGTCAAATGATGTACACACTGAGAACAGTTGGCAAAGAGCTGTATATTCATGAAAACATCTGAAAGGATCTCAGTGAGGGAAAATTATATGCGATTAAAAAAACAACAAAAAATCCTCCCATAACCTTTGGAAGTAAAAGGACATTTGTCCATTCCATATGGACAAATACAAATCAGAAATTGCTCTTCTGTAGTTAATGGAATAGGTAATTGCTGTAAGAAGAAAGGAGTTACCTCTTTTCAGGCCCAGGAAGGATTGGATAAAACTGATTTATAACAAAAAAATTGTAAATACATTCTAAAGAACATTACGAATGACAGTACCTTGTTTGTGAACAAGCAGATGTTTAAAACAGAATATCACTGTTTGATCACTCTTTAAGCTTCTTTTAGTTTTTGTGGAAGATATTTACTACAGAGGAAGACTATCACAATTTGTTACGGTTGATGCTGTCATTGACTTGCGCTTACATTTCCTCGCGTGCCAGATGAGCTAGAAGTATTTGTTCATTTTACTCATGACCTTGATAATATTGAAGTATAAGAAAAACTYTTTTTTTAACAAAAAAATTGGCATCTTCTCTTGAAGGAGATTGGATGGTATGATGATCAAAAAAATGCTGTTGGTGTGCTGTTAACTCGACTTGCTACAGATGCTTCCCAAGTTAAAGGGGTATGCAGATTCTTTTTCTATATTTTTCTTCATATTTTTCTTACATCTATTAATTACAATTGACAAGTGCTGCTGATATTATTTTAAAAAACAAGGTAGTAAATCTACCCCACAGGCTAGCAGATGCATTTCAATAGCATGCTGTTGACATCTTTGAAATAGCTTCTCAGCTGATAATTTATGAGGACTATCAAATATTCAGCAGATGTCCACATACCTTTATTTCCCTAGTTGCAGGTCTTGAGGCTAAGTATCTAATAACTGTGAACACAAAATGAAATCCGTATATGAAATGGGGACCAGAAGCAGTGGAACCCACAGTTTTATACTCTGTGATGGAGTGCATCTAGAGTCTCCCCTGAGTGACATAAAGAGGTTACATCTGCAGTTGAAGCAGCAGCCCCTTACCAGCCTCCATAAACAGAAATTTCCTCCCCATCTCTATCAAACATACTTCTCACACAAGCAGGCCAAGCAGGAAAAAAATGATTTGTCATTAACAAAGAGCACAAGGGAAGAGGATGCCCAAGGGATGGGATGAGTCAAGGCACTGGTATGGGAGAGGCAGCCACTGGAAACTCATCAGGAGAATATGACAGATTTTGCAGAGTTCCACTTACTCCTCACCTTATCAGCAGTCCTTAAAAATCTAACAGGCTGGAGAGGAAAAAAAAAGT